TCTTTCTATGGATTATTGTCAACCTTCTACTCTTCTTTCCAGAAGTAACCTTTGCTATTGACTGAATAGTTTAAGAGGCTGGAGAGATGGGACAGTATTTAAGCCTCTTGCCTTGCATCAAGTGGACCTTGGTTTAATTCCTAGCACCACATATAGTCACCCAAGCATTGGAAGGAATAATCCCTGAGCCCAGAGCCAAGAGTAGCTTCTGAAAACTCCTGAGATTTGCTCAAACCCACCTTCCAGTTTTGTTCAAATATACATAATCTGGGCCAGAGTGACAGTACAGAGGTAGGGCACTTGCCTTGCATGGGACCAACCCGGGTTCAATCTCTGGTACAACATATGGGCATTTCCTGCAAGGAGTGATCCCTGAGCACAGAGCCAGGAGTAAGCCCTGAGCGCCTTCCCACTGCCTGTGCTCCCCGAACCAATATATAATACATATAAACTTAATATTCCAGTTTTGTTCCCTTTCCTCCTCTTCCTCCTCTGCCCTCTCCAAATTGTTCCTGTGAATAACTAACAATTAACCTTTGTTTTTATTCTAGAGAAAAACAAACGTATTTTTTGATGTAACCTCACTCAGACACACAATACATTAAAAATCATATTTAAGTTTTTATTTGACATGTTATAACATTAGAACTGTATTCTGTGTTTTTTCTGCATCTTTGTTCATTCAACAAAACCTTTAGAAAGTACCTTTAAGCCTTTAGAAAGTACCCATAATTTCTTGTCTGAGATATTGGATAATAGCCAGTTTGGTGGACATAAATATGTTCCACACGCTGGACATAGTAATCATGCAGTAAAATCCCCCTCAAAAGCATAGTTTTCACCATATATAGCTATTGAATCTCTACACAAGCATGAATGTCCACATATCCTCTCCGTGGGAAATACTCCTTGGAGATATAGCAGTAGGTTAAGATCTTCAGAAGTGATTGTCATGTTTCCCCAAAAAAAGCTGCAACACTTTTCTTTACCCCAATAACCTCTGAGTGCCCTTTCCCGTTCATTGTCCTTAGCAATAGAATTCAACTCTCCTTTTGATACTAATCCACTGTAAAGTTTAAAGCACTGCATTATCATTACAGCTTTTTTTTGAGAATTTGTTTTTTGAGAATTTATATTTTCTTATTCCTGTTAGTCACTTGGATTTGCAGTTTTTGTAATGCCTATGTCTGTAATCTGTCACTTTCTTATTAGCTTGCTTGTGGTACTTTTAATTTAAATTTGCTAAAAGCTTTAAAATATTTATCTTAATTTTTCAGAATTATGTTTTTCAAATCTATTCATGTGCAAAAGAAATTGAGATAAATCTACAGACTATGACACATAAAAGTACGTGACTGGAAGTAATTCTATAACTTATTTAGAATTTTGCCATGCAATCTGTACATTTTTGAACTTGAAAAGCTCTTAATGAGAAAACCTAGGAAATTCAAAAGTCCATAAAAGATAACATGGTTTCTTATCATAAATCAAATTTATAAGCATTTTAGTAGGATAAATTAAATAAATTTATAATTTAAATTAAATAAATTTTATATACATATCAAAGGCTTCATAACATGATCTTAGAAGGAATAACAGAGAATTTACAGGTGGAGTAAAATTTCCTTCCAGATAGAAATCATTAAATGACCTTAGAGAATCCAAGTCATTTGCCAAAGAAAATAAATCCAAATTCAACAGCATAAATTTCAAAGTTTGATAAGATATTTAAGTTCTGTGGTAACTATCTTGGAAAAAGTTGAGGATTTGGTCCCTGGAGAAGGAGTTGGCAAAGCAAATCACAAATGGGAGAACAGCCCAAACGATTCCCTCCCTCTCCTTCCCTATTGGGTCTGGTCATTATTATAAACTCTAGAAAGAGAGTTCCACAATTCAGTGTTTGATATTTCTTCCAGAAACCAAAATATACTCTAATATTGGTAGAGAAATGATACATGCACCCGATATGCACGACTCTGGGGAAATTCTCTGGAAATAGTAGTGAATGCCTCAATTCCAAATAGTGTGATTCTTCCACCCCACATCTGTTCACCTTTATCTTCTCTTTCAGATGACTGGGAGATGCCCTGACTGGCCCGCATAGTACTATAGCTGCAAGAAGCTGAATATGTTTCACCAAACGAGTCATACAACTAGAAGTACCAGATGAGGATGGCTTTGTAGTTGTGTGTTTTAATCCTATTTGAATTCAAGATTTCTCGGACATAATATTGATATCCTTTCATTGCTTAACATGGAGGTAAGTGGAATGCATCTCAGAAAAGTATTCAAAAAAATCACAGTGATGTTTGGGTGTTCATGTTTCATGGACTGCTTTTATTTCAAATCTGAACAGTGACCAAATTATCTGCTAGGAAAAATCAGGTTTATTTAATTTCAGATTCTAGAAGTCTTTATATATATTAATTTATAATGCATTTTATGTAACTACATATTCTAATAACTTTATCTTTATATATTCAAGTGTATCTTTGAATATGTTTATAAGGTCTGTGGGAACTTCAGAACAGGACAGTCTTAGATTCTTACCTTGAACCAACTATTTAGTTCTTCGGAAAATAATTTCTCTGAGAATATAATTTCAGAATGTGAAAATTTTCTTTCATAAATTGGATTTACAAAATTGACAGATTTTTTTGTATTTGTAAGCCAATCAGCAATGTCTTAACTGCCAAAAAATCCGTCCTATTGTTTATTCTTACACTATTGCAACAAGAAGATATTTGCACAATGTTTTGAAGCTTATTACATAGGACATGAAATAATTTGAAGTAATCTATAAAGCAAGTTACTTTAGGCTAAAAGGAAAAATATCAACTTTGTAATATTTCAAAAGATATAATTAACACCAAAACCTATTAATTTATCTCGTTATACAATGATAACTGGCAGATTGGAACTAAAACTCTGGTTTTTTAGGTTCCATGGTTTACAATATTGTTAATGATAATTTTATGAAGTTGATGGGTTTTATTGTATTCTTCAAGTACCATTTACTTTTAAATGTAATATAAAGCAACACAGTAATAATACAGCATGCATATATTCCTTTATAAATTGATGGAATCATGGTATCCAAATTTGTTTTCCTATTTCAAGATACTTTTGAATATCATTCAATTCTTATGATTATGTATTTTTTAAAAATTTAAGCTTTTTGGGTCATCCCTGGCAATGTTCAGGTGTTACTCCTGCCTCCCTCTGCACTCAGGAATTATTCCTGGCAGTGTTAGGGTGGACCTTATGGGATGTGAGAGACTGAACTTGGTTCAGCCATGTGCAAGGCCGTATTACTACCCACTGTATTATCATTCTGACCCCTGCATTTTAAATTTTTGTCAGATGAGAGGGGAATAGCAGTCCTAGAATAAATAAACTTATAGAATATGTAGGAAAAATTGGATACATGACATTCTGGTGAATATAAATAATAACCTAAACATTCTGATATTGATCAAATAAAATTATTTGGAGTGTTCTATTATGTTTGTTGGGGTGAATAGATCGCTTTAAAAATGAATTGACTTCATTATAATAGTGTGAACATTAATGTTTGGGGAATGTAATGTCACTGCATCACACTTGGCAAACATTTTCCCACCCCTGTCACCAGCTTCCTTCTGTTCGTCCCCCTCCAGATTATGCCTCAAACTGGCATTTAGGGAGGAAAATCTGGGAAGTGTTGGGCTTTCAATGGCGTCTGTCAACAATTTCCACCTCCCTTTTGTCTCCTCACTAACTAGCTGTGTTTCCATGCACCAGCAATTTATACTTATTCCTTCCAAAACGAAGGAAGTAATTATACTGAAGACAATTTATACAAATAGGCAATTTTCACTAAAGATCCAGGTAAGCACATAGTAGGAGCTTTCTAGACTCTTTGGGGTTGAGATTGATGGTTTGGAGGTTCAGCTGATCTGGCTGGGAAGGCAGTTTTTCAACTAACAGAGCCACTTCTCTTTGGAACCTTCAACCATTTCAAGTCGTAGGGGCCAGGGAACTAGTATAGTGGGCAAGGCACTTGCCTTGTGCACAGACATCCACATTTGTTCCATGTGGTACCGCGAGTTTGTTACCACATGTTGGGTACATATATGCTTCACGTGAAGGCAGTTAGAAAAGCGTTTTCCTGTTTCACATGGGAAGAGCCAGGAGCCTCTAGGACAATGGGACTAACTGGGTAAGGAATCCCCAACCGGTCAGATTCCAAATTCCATGTTATCAAATAACCCTCTATGAATTCTGGACTTCTAATTGGGGGAAAAAATTATATCTGCCAACTTAGCAGATACTGTCTGCATTGTCGGTTTGGGTGAGAGGAGGAGTGACAGAGAACGGTGGGAAGGAGGGGGAACAGAAGGAGATCTCAGTGATTTTAACGGTTCACACAAACAAGGATACTCAGGGCATTTGGAATGCTGAGTGTCCCTCGCTGTGTCTGTCCCGATGACTGTAGTCAACTACAGAGAAAGAAGTGAGATCGGTGAACTTGCAGGATAAAAAGACCCAAAAAAATGACTCCTGTGCCTGTGGAAACTGGTGATAGACTCGGAGATGTTCGAGTTCATTTTGCAGAACCACTTTAAGATACTTACAAAGATATATTTTATCAATGTATTGTCTGTCATGGGCTGGAGCGATAGCACAGAGGGTAGGGCATTTGCCTTGCACGAGGCCTACCTGGTTCACCTGGGTTTGATTCCTCCGCCCCTCGAAGTGCCCAGCAAGCCACTGAGAGTATCTCACCTGCACGGCACAGCCTGGCAAGCGACCCGTGACGTATTCAACATGCCAAACACAGGAACAAAATGTCTCACAGGGGAGACATTACTGGGCCTGCTGGAAGCAAATGGATGAACAACTGGGAGGACAGTGCTATCATCTGTCACGGTATTTTACATGTTTTACAAGCTAGTTACCATGTGCTGTGCCCATGCTGACTTTCTCTGTTTCCAGCAGCAGGTGTGGTGGCATCCAGCATGAGGCAGGTCAACGAGAGTGTCCCTCGGGAGTTCATCCTCTTAGGCTTCTCAGATCGGCCATGGCTGGAGTTCCCTCTCTTTGTCGTGTTCCTGGTTTCCTATATCTTGACCATCCTAGGCAATCTGGCGATAATCGTGGTGTCCCGCGTGGATGCCAAGCTCCACACGCCCATGTACTTCTTCCTGACCAATCTCTCGGTGCTGGACCTCTGCTACACCACCAGCACCGTCCCGCAGATGCTGGTAAACATCCGCAGCGCCCGCAAGGTCATCAGTTACGGGGGCTGCGTGGCCCAGCTCTTCATCTTCCTGGCTCTGGGTTCCACGGAGTGTCTTCTCCTGGCCGTCATGTCCTTCGACAGGTTCGTGGCCATCTGCCGGCCCCTCCGGTACTCGGTCATCATGCACCAGAGGCTCTGCGCCCAGCTGGCTGCGGCGTCGTGGGTCAGCGGCTTCAGCAACTCGGTCTTGCAGTCCACCCTGACCCTGGAGATGCCGCTCTGTGGCCACCACGAAGTGGACCACTTCTTCTGTGAGGTGCCCGCCCTGCTCAAGCTGTCCTGCGCCGACACGACGGCCAACGAGGCGGAGCTCTTCTTCATCAGCGTGCTCTTCCTCCTCATCCCGCTGGCGCTCATTCTCATCTCCTACGGCTTCATCGCCCGGGCGGTGCTGAGGATCAAGTCGGCCGAGGGCCGGCGCAAGGCGTTCGGGACCTGCGGCTCCCATCTCGTCGTGGTGTCCCTCTTCTATGGCACTGCCATCTACATGTACCTGCAGCCCCCGTCCCCTGCCTCCAAGGACCGGGGGAAGATGGTGTCCCTCTTTTATGGCATCATCACGCCGATGCTGAACCCCGTTATCTACACACTAAGGAACAGAGATGTCAAGGGAGCCTTTAGGAGGCTGATGGCAAGGACCTTCTCACTCAAGAGATGAGGAGCACCGGGGGCCGGAGCAATAGTACAGTGGGGAGGGCGTTTGCCTTGCTTCTGGCCCACCTAGGTTGGATACCCAGCATCCCACGTTGGGAGTAGGCTCTGAGCATTGCCGGGTGTGACCCCAAAGGCAGAAACAAACAAAAGAAACAGAAACAGCCAACAGCAGGCCTGGTTCAAGACTTCAAGTTGACATCTTTTACTTTATTTTATGTATGAATTTAATAAAGAAATTTGTTAACGCAAGGAGAGAGTAAGTCAACATTTAAGAGACAATGGGGACTTCTCTACAAGGAAGAGAGAGCCCCACGAAATTTAAAAAGAGAGAGGGGGGGCAAGAGAGAGACAGAGAGGGGAAGTGTACCCCAAGTTGGGCTGGCGGGCCAGGCCAGAGTGGAAAGACAATTTTGGATTATTTTAATAATTTAATTCTCTATGAGTTGCTTTATTCTCACTCCTCTTAGAGCTATGTATGAAGCAGATCACCTTCAAATAAATTCATAAAGGGCTACCTTATTTTCTCTCGCCTAAATATGTCCCTTATCCAAGTCACGATGTCACGAGGATTGGTCTATTATGATCCCTTAATAGTATATTTAAAATATTTAAAATTTCAAACTTTATATCACAGGTTTGTATATTGGTGAAGAGTCTTAAGCTTCTGTGTGAGACTAAAATAAAAGCTTAGGAAACAGAACATTTTTGAGTACAGATAAGAGCATTTGCACAGACCACACTATTTTTCAAACTTAGCTTTAAGAATATGTGGAAAGTGTAGAAACAAGAGGATAGAAGCTCTGATAAAAACTGGACCAAGAGCCATCGTTGACCTTAGGAATGTGTTATTGTCGGAACAGCGTGTTGTTTGCTTATTGGTTTTCACCGTGCAAGTGTCAAAATCTCATAGATGGGATATCCTACACAGACCCACATTCCTGCAGAGATGAATGGATAGTTTTTTTAAGCTAAAGCCCCAGGCATTTCCCTGGATGCCTATCATTAAAATAAGAGGCTCTGCATTCTTCCAAGGATTTCTATTCTAAGGCATGTGAAGAAAGCCAGGCTTAGTTCCCGTGTTATTGCATCCACGTTAGGAGAGAAAAAATTAAAACGAAGGATGTATACAAAACACAGAGAAGAATTTTGACTTGCTTCACTGGGATGAGAATTCAGAGCAAAATGCAAGGTATGACATGGTTTAACCTCCAATCATTCAGCAATAAAGTGGCCTGAAAGCAAAGAGTGATGTGTGAAGATAAACAATGTTCTCTCAGAGAAGTGACACTCAGAGCAGGAAGATGCGCTCACAAGGTGAATGTGGAGAGAGATCTAACTGCTCCATCAGAGAGCAAATTTGGTTTTTCGTGCCATAAAAAATTCCCCAGCAAATGGTGGTATTCTCTGCCAAGTTAAGGAAATGATTAACCAAATGATTGAGGAGCCAGAGAGATAATACAGCAGGTAGGACACTTGCCTTGCATGCTGCTGACCCAGGTTCGACCCCTGACACCCTATATTGGCCCCAGAGCCTGATAGGCGCGATCACTGAGTACAGAGTCAGGAGTGAGCCTGGAGCACTTCCAAGGGTGTCCCAGAAACCCACAGCAAAATAATAAATGAAGGTCAAGCTGAACAGTGAAAAATCAGTTATATCCTCATTTTTAGAAGCCTTGTTTTTTGTGCTGTACTATTAGTTTAAGGGAAATCCTTTGGTGCTTCTTGCATTTAATTCAGTCTTATTTAAAGAGCTGAAAAAAAATAAAATGCAGTTTCCCATAGATGGCAAGCTTTTTTCGATAGTTACTAGTCAACAGATAGCATTTAGTAGAAGTTTTATATTTATAGAATTTTGCCTCTTAGCACAGCGGGTAGGGTGTTTGCCTTGCATGCGGCCGACCTGAGTTTGATTCCTCCGACCCTCTCGGAGAGCCCGGCAAGCTACTGAGAGTATCCCGCCCCGCAGAGCAGACCTGGCAAGCTCCCAGTGGTGTATTCATATGCCAAACACAGTAACAAGTCTCATGGATATGTTACTGATGAAGAAGGGAAGGACAGTGCTAGAGTGCTACAGTGTTTATATATATTAGGGGAAGTAAAGCTATGCTCATGTCTGGCTATGCGCATGGCTTACTCCTGCTCTGTGCTCAAGATTCACTCCTGGGGTTCTCAGGGGACACATGAGTGAGTTAGAAGCACAGGGAAATGACAAATGGTACTAGAAGTGGTGCTGGGAATTGAACTAAGGTCAACGTGCAAGGCAAGTGCACTAACCACTATACTATCTATCATTTCTATTTTGGTTTGAAAAGTCTTCACAATTTGTTCAAACCCTGCTTTTGCAACTAAATTTTAATGGTAAATTAAAAAGTAGAAAATTTTAGAAATGATAAAAAAGGAAGAAACTTATTTTTCCACTCCACTTATCCTACAAAAGCAATTTACCTCCACATCAAAATGAAAGTTGTCTCTTGAGGATCCAGAGCCCTAGTACAGAGGGTCGGGTATTTGCCTTGCCATAGGACCAACCCACATTCAATCCCCGGCATCCCATGCGGTCCCTAGACCGCTGACAGGAGTAATTCCTGAGTGCAAAGCCCGGAGCAATCTCTGAGCATCACCAGGTATGGATCCAAAACAGCAGAAAAGTTATCAGTTGCCAGTAATGGTGCTAAAACAAAAAGATAAAAATTGTTTTTGCCCTGAAGGTGCTCCTAATTCAAGGATTGAAAGTGAAGGTTCATGGGGCTGGAAAGACAGCACAGCGGGTAGGGCGTTTGCCTTGCACGCGGCCGGCCCAACTTCAATTCCCAGCATCCCATATGGCCCCCTAAGCACTGCCAGGAGTAACTCCTGAGTGCAGAGCCAGGAGTAACCCCTGTGCATCGCCGGGTGTGACCCCCACCCCCAAAAAAGGGGAAGATTCATTATCTATTGGCACACACTTTAGTGGCATAGAATTCCAATTCTGTATGCTCCTGGATTCCACAGGCGAATTTGGACAGGGCATGGAATAGATGGTTTGTCTCTACCATGTCTGGGAGCTCATCTAGAAAAATTCAAAACACTTCAGACCAGATTATTTGTATGTCTTGTATGTCTGAGATCAAATAATTCTAAACACTGTTAGATGTCAAGGTGGCAAGTTGGGGATGGTTGGTTGGTTGGGTGGGTGGGAGCCCTGGTGGAGAGAATATGACACTGGTGGTGGGATTGGTGTTGAAACATAGTATGTCTGAAACCCAACTAGGAATAACTTTGTAAACTTTGATGTTGTAAAAGATAAAATAGGGAAAATGTGAGCTTCTCCAGAGGGTACAGAGCGCAGACATTATCCCATAAAGTAAAAGGACACATCCCAATCTGAGATTCAAGTGACCCCAGAATGTGGTCATGAGCCGCGTTTCCAAAAAATTACTTTTATGGTGTTTAAGTCTGCCTGCCTTCTCCAGGTATACTCTTAGTTGAATCCGCCACACATCCACAGAGCCCCTCTTTGGCTACGTGCGGAGGAGAGACCACCACCAATTTGGACAAGAAGTGAGGGGTCCCAAATGTGAGCTATTTCTCCCCGATTGTCTTCGTCCTAACCCTCTACCTAAATCACCTAACAGTAACTCAGGACACTAAATAGTTGAAGAGGAAACCAAAGTGCTCAAGGCCAGCATATGACTTAATTTCATGGACCCAATATGCCAAGCCAAGGTGTTATGTCCAAGGTTTGCTCAGGATGACACAGGACACATGACATGCTTCCTAGTGTAGTATGTTGGGGAAGTCACTTGAACCAAATGTGAAAACAGAATCCACAAAAATGACCAGATGATTTTATTTCATTTAGACAATAATCACAGTTCAGGAAGCTTCTTTGGGGCCAAAGATTCTGTCCTTCTCAGTTGCTGTGGTTTTACATTTGTGTGAATTTCTGTGCAATTTGTGGTCTTGGAGTGCCTTAGACTTCTAGATCTTTGCGTACGTCAGAGCATGGGAATCTCTGCTCCCCGTAAACCTTTGCATCTGCCTGCTCTGACCTGTTCCTAGTTTCCTTTTTTTTCTTGAAATCAAGACATATTCCTGTTTGTCGTTTTATTTTTAACGTTAATTTTCTTTATTCAACAGAATCTACATAGTACTAGAAAAATGATTTATGGAAATGGCCTTTTTTTGGCTTGATAAATTTGACGGCTAAAAGATTAATTTCTCTGGAAGATCTTAAAGATTGGATGAAGGCCACCTTTAGTGAAGGCCATGGCCATCTAAATCTCTCCGGTGAGCAGTTTCACCCCGTGACTCCCCCCAAACTTTCTGACCGACCGACCACTCTTGCTTCACAGTGTAAGCTCTTCTTAGGCAAGACATACTTAAGGTGGCCCCTGAAGCCACGTGGGGGAGTGACCAAGTTTTTTGAAGTATCTGTCCTATATACAGGAGATACATACATTGGTATGCTTCTTTTTACTTTTTCTCTTAACAATCTGTCAAATGCTTGGTTATTCGAACCAGAAGAGTATGGGGCTAATTTCTTTAGCAAGACAGAAGGAAATGTTTTGTGCCAAATGATGATAGCAGAAGCAGCAGTTGAGACCATCATCTCAAGCTCTCTAAATGCTTCCAGAGAGGAGGGCGGCATCTGCAGTGCTCGTGGGAGAATTATTTCAATCTTCCATAGGCTCTGGAAGAATTGCTTAGAGAGTAAATCTAACTACTTCACCTTCTTACTGGGACATCCAGTTGGCTGGGGACAGTTGTCCTCACGCTGCTTGACACTCATTTCTGAGCTCAGTGTTGAGTAATGTTAAATAATGCCTCTCAATATGGCAGGCATCATGGAGAGGCGCTTACAGAACAGGCTTTGGATTGAATCGAGGCCCCACAGGATACTGTTTTCTGTTACTGGTCAACTGAACCCCCAGACACCTCCGTTTCCTCTTTAGGAAAGCAAAGATAATAGAACCCTACTTCACAGGATTGTTGTGAAGATCAAATCAGGACATCTGAAGCATG